ATGTGCAATTTTAAACACCCACCCCAAGCACGTCCCGCCGTTACGGCCTATCACAACGTTTAAACCGTATGAGATAGTCGGCATCGATGTTCTTAAGTTGGGTCTGACTCGTGCTGGCAACCGATATCTCTTAGTAGTTATAGACCATTTCACAAAATGGTGTTCTGCTTATTCTATCCCGGATAAGAAAGCCGATACTATTGCAAAGGTGTTTGCTGATGCGTGGTGCGCACGTGAAGGGCGTACCCCGTTAGTCTTTCTTCCTCCGCAATTCACAGCACGGGAGGCTCGACGGCAACCACTTCTCGAGTTGGCGGTCCACAGCTGCGGCGACAAGCAGCCAACGGCTGTGACGATCGCGGCGGTGCTTCCTGCCGGCAACACGTCCCTGAACTTACTGCCTGTGCGGACTTGATGCAACATTGCTGGCTCAGCCTTTGTCCTTGCCTTATACAAGCAGATTTCCTGGCAGGTGCCTATCCGCTACCCTGCCCCGCGCTCTCAGCCACAGAAACTGATATCCCAGCTTCTTAAAAGTGGACCCCCAATAAGCGAAATGTTGCAAGAGCTCTACGCACGAAGTACGGAAATAGGCCCAAAAAAAAGCATCGAGTACGAGAGTGATGCAAAATCCCAGAATGCCTATGGTGAAACTGCAGGCAGACGTTCTGGGCTTGCAAGAAGTTGACAGTTACATCTATCTCGAACAAGAAGTGAATATGTGTCAAATCTCCAGCCAGAGACTGCACGTCAGAGGGGTGACCACTGACGCAAATTCCAGATAGCAACGCCAGTGTCCTCAAAATGTCGAAGTGGAAGGACCACGTTAACCTCGTCAGTAGCACTGTATTGAAGGCAGTGGCACACGGATGCGAAAGTCGTACACTAAATCAAAAGAGCTTACTCTTGCCGGTTGTTACAGAGAGAGCGATGAAGCGAAGAATGTTTGGCGTTCTCTCAATGACCATGTAAACAGCCACTCTCCATCAGATGAGTGGTGCGCATAATCCTATCACGACCACGCGAGGAAGCAAAATCCGATAGGTGTGCTATGTTGCTCGCCTTGCCGACAACCAGTGGACGACGAGTATTACCCATGAGAGAGCAAAAGACCACTCGGCGACCTCTAAAAAAGTGGGGCAGTAAGTCGAACAGGTGGTGGCTACTAACTGGGAGGTATGCAACCCAAGTTCAAATGGCCTGGCACAGCTGTACTCGATGCGTGGGAACATCCCAGTAACTTCACTAAGAGGTATCCATGACGACAGCTAGAGCGATCATGGTGTGGTGGACAATTTTTTATGTGAAAAAGTCTCACCACGAATTACAGACGAACTGTTGGATGCTGTCGCTGTGGACCAATAATAACAGTCGTTGATTATTAGAATACCCGTCGATCAGAAAGTACTGACGAAGTTGTTGACGTTGATGAAGTCGTTGACGAACGTTGACCGGAAGGTGATGACGAAAGAAGACGGGATCGTTGACGTTGATGAAAGATGACGAAAAGAGAAACCATTGAGGAATCAAGCCCTTTTTATACAGTTTATTGAGAGAAGGGCTAGATCCGTTCCCGGACGTTTTTTTTTTTTTGGATTTGTTACTTCCCCCTTGTAGGAAGGAGGCAGTTGACGTGTAGCGCAGCTGCGCTGATTCATTGTTTTTTAAAAATAAGCGATGTTTACCGTTTTACGGCTATTTAAATTTGGATCCTTTTTTTTTCCTTATTTCTTTTTTGAAGAGATTGCCCTCTTCACATGGTATTTTTGGTAATTCTGCCAGAAATTCAAATCGACTTTTAACTCTATAAAATTTTTCATTAACTTTTACAGAGGTTACCAGTTTTGTTCAAAGGGAGCCAATTACGGTTGGTGGTCAATACCAACCCAGCCGGTAAAACGAAAAGAAGTGTCTCCTCACACAACGTTATACAAAAATTGACTATAAAAGATCACGACATGATAATTCAAATTAAAACAATTCTGGCATTTGAAACGATACAGCCTACACAAAGCAAATTTGTTACGTTTCTCTCTCTGAGGC